GGCAATCTTTTTTTCATGTTTCTTTCTGTAAAGCAGATTATAAGTGAAATTCAGCTCTGGGTAATGCAGATCTAAATCTACTCAAATTAAGGTTGTGATGCTCACTTATACCAGCACTGAACATGATTTAGAAAAGGATTGTGACATGATGGAGTCTGGATTTATAATGCAAGTGCATATTGAGATAGACTATAATATGTGAAATATGTAAAAACAAAATAATTAAATACTAGAGGTTCGATCTTGCAAAGCATTACTTGCCTAAGTACAGGTTGAAGCTCTGTTAACGAGGACTCCTTGATCCAGACCACGGATGTTCCAGAACCAGAGAGTCCAAGTGGAGGGCTGGCATCTGGGCTCTTTGCAGGTGGGCTGCCTGGCTCCCTGCAGCAGGGCTGCCCAGTGTGGCCAGGAGCCTGGCACATAAGAAGCTGGGCTAGAGCTGGGCTACCTGGCATAGCAGGAAAGGGGTTGGAGGACAGGCAGTGAAAGCGGATGGTCTAGGGCTGGAGGGTGGGGAAGGCAGTAGCTGGGGAGCCAGACCTCCCCTGGTCCTGCAAAATCCCTTATTCAGGACTAGTCAGGTCCCGAGGGTGCCAGACCAGGGAGGTCCAACCTGTACTGCTCATGCACGTGAGAGTTTGTAAGATGGGACCCTGTATTTTGTAAATGGGGTCTATGCCTAAGTTGCTTTCTTTTGCATGTAAGTAACATATAATTTCATCTAAAGATGTTATTTGCTTGTTCATGTTTTGTGTACACTTAATAGCCCTGTTAACTATAAAGGCCCCAATTCAGCATTGGTGGGATTTAACAACATGCTTAGATGCTTTGCTAAATTAGAGCCAAGTCTTTCTTCAGGCTGAATAGTATTATTTGGTTGAACTTTAAACAACTCTATCCTCTGTAAAATAACTCCAGTGACTCCAGATCCTGACTTTCAGGTTTGTGGAACATGTTTGCTGCATTTGCATTACTTAGTAATTTTGACTTCATATTTTAAAATATTTTTAAAATATTTGTATATGTTTAAACCATTTTTAAATGACCATCATTACAATATGAATGCTTTTAAGGTGTTGTAAATCTTACCTGCTTGAATGAGCAAAAGTGTAAACACCGTTAAAAGAATTGTTGCTAACATGAATACTATCAGCATTTTAATATGTACTTATAATGTCAGATACTGGTTTGGGAATTAAATCACCTTTGAATCAGAAAAGCAAACCAAATCATATCAAACCATGCATATAGTTTAACAAGCTGACTTTCTGACAAATAGAAAGGCTAATGTTATTTCATAAAAAATCAACAATTTTTAACTTTCCTTTTGTGTTTCTGAGAAAAGAATTTTATTTTACTGTAAGTAGTTTAACATGGGCTGCCTGCTAATGTATTTCTGCTATGCATATTACAATTAAAGAATAAACTAACGTTGCACTTATCTAAAGCATTAGTACATTTCAATTTGTGGTTCTTATTAAAAAGAATACAGACTCTTTGCAGTGGCTGATTTTTGGCTAGGCAGCAGATACTCTATTCAGCAGAAAGGTAAGCTATTTCATGAAAGTAATTTTCTTAGTGAATATGGGCAGTATTGGCCTGAATTTCTAAACACACTGAGCCTGATTTTGTCATTTTCATGCAGCTCAGACTGCCACTGACTGTCACTGCAATCTAATGTGGATAAGGACAAGACCAGCCCTAGTGTAAGGCACAACAAAGAGAAACCTTTCTGAAAACTCAGGAATGGCTACTTAAAATATATTCTTCTGAATTTTATGTTTATTACTAAAATGAAATCCTATGACACCATTTAAGTAAACGACAAAATTCTCATTCACTTCACTGAAGCTAGACTGTCATATTTTTACTGTCACATTCAGAGCATTAATAATCAACATTGAAGAGCTGGGAACCTCCTCTTATTAATGAATGGAGACACAGACAGCCATAAAATAATACTGCTGCAACATACACACATGGCTTTGTAGTATTTGCTTTATGATGCTGCTTTGAGATGACAAAGCCTCATTGCACACTGACGCAATGCCATGAGGCAAACATTGTAAGATGTGGTCATTCTTTGACACTCCCTTCAATAAAACATAAACATCTCCTCTCTTCACTCCACTTTTGGCTGTTGTTAACAGATCAGGAGACAGACGTAAATGCAATAGTTAGCACACAAAGACATCTGATCTCTTCTGGGGACCTTTAGATAAATAAATTCATCAATATATTATACTATATATTTCACATTTAGCATAGGTATATGTGAGTATACTTGAATGTGTGGTGTTTTTATAAAGTTTTATCTGAACGAGTTTGGCATGGCTACAGTACTTGCGAATCAATTATATAGGCCATCCAAAAATCAAATTTTATACTCAATATTGTTAAATACCATAGATTTTAAAATGAAATTATTTTAGAGTTTTGAAAACAGTTTAGTGATATTTTAATATATTTCTACCTGAAAAAACAAAGTCCATTTGTACAATAAATCCAATTGCACAGTACTCTGTGAGAAAGAAAATGTAACAGATTTCTAAAACCTCTAAAATAGCTTTTCTATACAATAAAGTAACAATTTGCTATTTCATGAGCTTCTATAAAGTGCTTTGTTCTATTGTAAACTATCCCTAATGATTCATGGTATTGGATTTAAACCCATCAATGTTCCAAAACTTAATACTGTGTCCCCTGTGTCTTGGACCAGGACAAGGGAAATCTGTGTTTGAGGAAAGAAAAAAAACCAACATTTTTATATGGTAGCTCTTTGAATATGCTGTGAGGTTTGAAGTGTTAGAAGTAATCTCAGTAGAAACAAATAATTGGGCATAGCGATAGTTACACTCTCAGTCAGTTTATCACATCATCACATATGATGAGCATGTAGATGTTTTAAAGCTGTAATAGATAAGATATGGATAATGTCCTGCATTCAATACATAATCCATCCATGGAAATTACTTAGAAATTACAAATGGTTTCATTTTATTCAACCCTTTTAGAATGCACATTAGATCAGATAATGGAATGGAAATTAATCAGACAAAATACAAGAAGGAACTGCATAATTTTCTGACACAGCATGTGTTTTGGCTTTAATTTCCTTGAGAAGCATTTCAAACATCTTAAAATACTTTAATCCTAACAACAAAATACTGTAATACATATCAGTTAG